CATGGATCTCAGTCAGCTCTCCTTGGAGTCAGTGAGAGCCATAGAAAATAGATCGTCAAAGGTGGAAGGGCCTTCAGAGGTCCTCCATCCCAACTCCATCTCCTTTATTATTCATCTTTGACTCTTCCCTTTCCCCCAAGCTCCACAGCCAATCATTTGCTAAGTCCTATTGATTTTCTCCTATCTGCCCTCATCACGGCCTCTCTACAAGTTTTCTTGGAACAGTAGATAAAGCCATTAAACTTTGAACCAGGAGATCTGGGTTCAAAGTCTGCCTCATACACTTAGTAGCTATATGAACCTCGCCATGCCTCAATTTCCTCCTCTGTAAAATGAAGGATTGGATTTGAAGACTCCCCCGCCTAGTTCAGGCCGTCATCACTCTTGGCCTGTGCTATTATAGTAGCTCCCCCTTCCCACCTAATTACATATAAACACAATTTTAAACATTCATTTAAAAAAATTTTGAGTTCCAAATTTTCTCCCTCCCTCCTGCCCCTTCCCCCTTCCTGAAACAGTAAGCAATTTAATATGGGTTATACATGTGCAATCATGTAAAACATCTCCATATTAGTCATGTTGTGAAAGAAAACACATATCAAAAAAAAAAAAAGAAAAATATAGCATGCTTCGATCTGTATTCAGACTCCATCCATTCTTTCTCTGGAGGTGGATAGGATTTTTCATCATGAGTCCTTTGGAACTGTCCTGGATCATTGTATTACTGAGAAGAGCTAAGTCATTCACAGTTGATCATCACGCAGTATTTGCAGTGGTTTCCTAATTGGTCTCTCTAGCCACCCCAGTCCATCCTCCAATCAGTTGGGTGAAGTTCTGATCAGGTCACTGCTGTGCTCAATAACATGCAATGGCTCCCTATTCCATCCAGGATCAAATATGAACTCCTACATCAGACACCTAAAGCCTTTTATGACCCGACTCCAACCTACCTTTCCAGGCTTATTATATATTCTTTCCCTCCTACAGTCAAACTGGACTTTTTGTTGCTCCTCACATATGACACGTCATCCCCCATCTCTGGGCCTTTGCACAGGCTGTACCCCATGCCTAGAACATACTCCCTTCTTTGTCATGGAATCTCTAGTTTCCTTCAAAGTTCAGCTCCAGCATCATGAAACAGATAAAATAATACGAGGCTTTTCCTGATTCCCTCTCACCTCTACACACATACACACGTGCACACGTGCACACGCATACACACTCCCCAATGCCTTCCCTCAACCATTTTTGGGGGGTAGGCATGGAAATTAGGCCTATGACTTATCCTTAGAAAGGCATCAAGGTATAGTGGATACTTGGGGTACTTGGGGTATTTGGGGTTTTGCTAATCAGGGTTCAAATCCCGCTTAACACATTTCCTATTTATGTGACCTTGAACAAACTTCTTCCCCTCTCTGGGCCTCAGTTTCCTCATCTGTAAAATGAGGGAATTGGACCTGATGCTTTCTAAGGTCCCCCTTAGCTCTAATTCTATGATCCAATGATCTCATTTTATTGTTATAGGGAAGTCCCAGTGAGGAAACTTCCTTCACCAATACAGATCGCGACCCGCTCCAGAAGTCACACGTAGTCTTGGAGTTACCTGGGGCACTGAGACGTTACTGCTTGCTCCTTAAGGACAGAGAATGTTGCCATTTGTGGCCATGTCCCAAGTGACTAGTACGGTGCTGGTCACATGGGAAGAGTTTAACAAATACTTGTTGATTCATTGACAGAGAAAGAAATTAAGTCCTAGAGAGGATATGCTCACAAAGCAAGTTAATGGCAGAGCTAGGAGGAGATCCCAGGGCTCCTGAGTCCAGGCCAGAGCTCTTTCTTTCCAGCCTCCCTAGGTCTGTCCCCCATCTCCCAGGTGCAAACACACCACCTAAGGCATTCCAGAAGCAGCTTCCTTCCAGGATTACCTTCCTAACTCTTTCCTAAACACCAGCTCTGCCTAGGAATTACCAGAGTGTCCTCAATCTACAGCTGGGGCGGTCCTCTGAGACCTTTTAGAACAAACCCTCCTGAGGCAACTGAAGACCAGAGTGGGCAAGACAGTTGCCTAAGTTAATGGGGCCAGTAAACAGCAAAGCCAGGACTCCAGCCCAGCTTTGGGGATTCCAAATCCCGTGTACCAAACTGGCTCCCTAAGGCCTTGGGTCTGCCTGCAAAGTCAATACTCCCAAATGTGAGCCACTAGATTTCCACCATGCCCCCAGACAGCTTCTAGCCACACTTCAATGGGGAAGGAAAGGGGAAGGGAAGGGGAAGGAGGAAAGGGATGGGGGAAGGGGTAGGGGAGGGGAAAGGGGGGGAAGGAGAGGAGGAAGGGGAAGGGAAGAGAGGAATAAAAGAAGAAAGGAATGAAAGGAGGGAGGGAGGAAGAGAGAAGGAAAAGAGAGGAAGAAAAGGAAGAAAGATAAGAAAAATAGAGTCTTCTTTGAAAGGGAATGGGAAAGAAAGGAAGAAAGGAGAGAAGGAAGGAAGAAGGGAAGAAAGGAAGGAAGGGAAGGAGTGAGGAAAGGAAAGAAGAAAGGAAAGGAGGGAAGGAGGGAGAGAAAGAAGGAAGAAGGGAAGGAAGGAAGAAAGGAAAGGAGGGAAGGAAGAGGGAAAGAAAAAGAAGGAAAGAAAGGAAAGGAGAAGAATTGTAAGGTCAAAAATGTATAGATTTTAGAGTTACAAGGGAGAGAAGGAAGAGGGAGAGAAAGGGCAAGAAGGAAGGAAAAGACAGGAAAGAAAGGAGGGAGGAAGGGAGATAGGAAGCTGGACAAAGAAGGTCTGTTCTGGAGGAAGGAAGGCAGCCAGGGCCAGGGAGCCCACTCAGAGGGCCAGGGAGCCCACTCAGAGGGCCAGGGCTGGGGATACTTACTGAGCTGGTCCAGGTTGGTTGTGGGGCCCAGCTGGCCAGGGCAGCCTCCTCAAGCTCCCAAGGGCTTTCTGCTCCTCAGAGGAGGAGGCCAGAGCTGGGATGTAGGATTTCCAAATGTTAGCCACAGCTTTGCAAATCCATGTGCTAATCTTCACCTTGGGTCAGAGACTTGTTCCACCTCCGAATTAAAGCCCAGGAGGCCTGGCCAGGTTGGGGCATTTAGCCAGCTTCCCCAAACAATGAGGTTTTTTTGGGGGGTTAGTTGATTAGGAAAGTTCCAGTGGGGGCGGGTGGGAGGGGGGTCTGTATGGCTCCTTCTGTGGGCAGAGGAGGGAGGTGGAGGAGAGGCAGGAACACGAGGATCAAACTGGGAATGTTCTCACTTTGAGGGGCAGTGGGAGGCCACAGAGGGCCCAGGTTACAGCCAAAGATGGGGTTCCGGAGCCCATGGAAGGACTAGGTGTCCAGGGGTCCCCCTCCCATCTCTTAGCCTTCCATACTTGATGGCTGTGCATACAATGGAGAGAGTATTGGCTCTAGGGAACAGGTATTAATCAAGTGCCTATTGTGTGCCGACACTGAGCTAAGCACTGGGGATACAAATACAAGCAAAAAGCAAGCCAGTCCCTGCCCTCAAAGAGCTTATATTCTGACGGGAAGACAATACATAAAAGGAAATTGAAAAGGAGGGGGCATGGTGGTGAAATTGGGAGAGTCAGAAGCACAAACAGGAGGAGAATGAAGTATGAGTGACCTAGGCTCATCCCTCAAATGGAGCTCCAGCTCTCCCCCTAAGGAACTCACCAGTTACATAGTGGATAGAGCCCTAGGCCTGGAGTCAGGAAGACCTGAATTCAAATCCTTCGGCAGACACTTACTAGCTATGTGACTCTGAAGAATTCACTTAACCTCTGTCTGCCTCAGTTTCCTCAACTATAAAATGGGGATAATAGCATCTACCTCCTAGGTTTGTTGTGATGATCAAATGAGGTATTTGTAAAGCACTTAGCACAGGGTTTGTCACATAGTAGGTGCTTAATAAATACTTGTTGCCTAAAAGCAATGTAGCCAAGATTAGAAGGAAAGCAGAAAATTGGGGAAAACATTTTAGATAGTTTCTCGGATAAAGGCTTATATCTCAAATATATAGACAACTGAGTCAAATTTATAAGAATGTGAGTCATTCTGTTGCAGTCTGAGATGCTGAGACCCCTCAAAGACTACAGGACGGGGTCGTCTGGAATGAATTCACAGACTCAAGCATTCTTTGAGTCAAGTTGGCAAAAATTTATTGTTAAGCTTTTCAGCGGGCAAGGATTCTTAAGGAACCTGCGAGAGACTGAGGATGGAGCTAGGGTTTATATGGAAAAGGGCAATGGGAAAGGAATGCCAGGGATACTGATTAGGTAATCCAAAGGGCCAGGTGTCTTTGGGAGCCATGGATGGGAAAGTGTAGGGAGTATACCAGACAGGGAGGGAGATGTCAGAGGCATGGATCTTGGGAATCTGGCAGGAGGAAGAGTCCTTGGGCCAGCCAAGGACAAAACTCCTTGGGCCAGATAAGACACCCCTCTCTCTCTGTCCTGATTAGAGAATGCTCTGTAACAAGGGAAAGTTTTCTCACAAGATAGGCGCTTACTAAGGAATTGGGAGGCTTCCAGAGACATAATCTGAGGGCTAGGGGCAGCCCAGCACTCTCACCCAGCTTTGTGTAGCTGCACCAGGGAGAGAGATAAGGGTCTTGCTGGGGCCCACTCGTGAATAATTGCTATGCACAGTGTCCTTGGGCTGGAGAATGATTGTCAGAGACAGTGTTTCTGAGACTAGGGAGAAATTGGGGTCCAAGGACAAGCACAAGCACCCAAACACAAGCACCCAAGCACCCTATCAATTCCCCAATTGATAAATGGTCAAATGATATGAACAGGCAGTTTTTGGATGAAGAAATCAAAGCTATCCATTGCCATATGAAAAAATGCTCTAAATCACTATTGATCAGAGAAATGCAAATTGAAACAACTGGAGATGTCATTTTACACCTATGAGATTGGTTAAAATGATAGAAGGGGAAAATGACAAATGTTAGAGGGATGTGGAAAAGTTGGGATAATAATGCATAGTTGGTGGAACTGTGAAGTGATCTAACCATTTTGGAGAACAATATGGAATTATGCCCAGAGTTATAAAACTGTGTATACCCTTTGACCCAGCAATAACACTATTGGGTCTGTTTTCCGAGGTGGTCAGGGAAAAAGGAAAAGAACCTATATGTTCTAAAACAGGACTTCTTAAGTTTTTTCCACTCATGACCCCTTCAGTGCTTCTTAATAAATCTAAAGTACTTATAGCAGCTCTTTCTGTGATGGCAAAGAACTGGAAAATGAGGGGATGCCCATCAATTGGGGAATGATTGAACAAGCTGTGGTATATTGTGATAGACCCTCCGTTAGGGACCCTGGGGCACCACGCCCTGGGGCCTCTGGCTCAGCTTCCCCTAACGGCTGTTACAACACCCTGGGTGAAATCCTCAAGGGTGGGGTGCAACATCCTGTTCTGTAAATGACCTGCTCCCTTCCCGGCACCCCACCGGACCCTGTTCCCTTCCCGGCACCCCACCGGACCCTGTTCCCTTCCCGGCACCCCACCGGACCCTGTTTTGTAACCGGACAGTATAAATATCTCAGATGAAACCCTCGGTGGTACGGCCCCTGGGATGCACGCCTGGGGTCCGTCGCCGGCCGGCTCAAATAAACGCGCTCTCAATTAAAGTCAATTGGGTGTGATGCTCTGATTTCTCTCGGGCGTCCAGTTCAATATGAACGTAATGGAATACTATTGTGCTATAAGAAATGATGAGCAGGTTGATTTTAGAAAAACATGGAAAGACTTGTATGAAATAATGAAGAGTGAAATGAGCAGAACCAGGAGAACATTGTACACAGTAACAGTAACATTATTTTAAGAACAATTTTGAACAACTAAATTATTCTGAATATTATAAATACTCAAATCAACTACAAAGGACCTATGAAGGAAGATGCTATCCACCTCCACAGAAAGAACTGATAAATAGAAGTATGTATAGTGTGGTTTTATACACACACACACACACACACATCTGTGTCAAATGGTGGCCTTCTCTAGTGCAGGGTGGGAAGGGGGTGAGGGAGACGGTTCAGAACTTAAAATGTAGCACAAAACAAATCAAAACAAATAAATAAATTGTTGCAACCTTCCCTCCTCTCCTTCAGTTTCCTGTAAAAGGAAGGGGTTGGATTAGATAGTTTCTGAGATTCCTCCCAGTTCCAGAGCCATGAGCCTTTGTGTGACCTTGGGCAAATCACTTCCCAATCCTGAGCCTCAGTTTCCTCCTTTGTCAAATGAATGCATTGGACCAGAGGGCCTCTGAGGTCCCTTGTGGCTCTAGATGAATGAATGAATGAATGAATGAATGAATGAACAAATGAATTAAAAAGCAATTATTACGTACCTGCTATGTGTCAGACCCAGTGCTAAGTGCTGGGGACACAATTACAAACATGAGACAGTCCCTGTTTTTAGAGAACTTACATTCTAATAGTTGGAGATAACACACACACAAGGGAGTCAGGGTCAGGTAAGGACATTAGAGTTAGGAAGTCACCAAGATACTGCCAGGAGCCATAGGAAAAGCCATTATCACTGACCTTTCCAAAAGCAATGAGACTGTTCATTTGATTCCTGTGCCCAGAGCCAGAAGTAGAAAGCTTTGGCAGGGAGAAGACTTGAGGGGAGGGGAATTACAGGTTTCCATGGCTGGATAACATCTGAAGCATGGTCTTTGGCCAGCTCTCTATCTATATTTGTATCTATGTCTATGTCCATGTCTATGTCTGTGTCTATGTCTATGTCTGTATCTATATCTGTATCTATATCTATCTACCTACCTATCTATAAGCTTAGGTGAGTTTGTACTCCAGTCCAGTCATTTTTTCAGTCATGTCTGACTCTTCATGACCCCATTTGGAGTTTTCTTGGCAGAGATACTGGAGTGGTTTGCCATTTCCTTCTTCAGCTCATTTTATAGATGAGGAAACTGAAACAAACAGGATTAAGTGACTTGCCCAGGATCACACAGCAAGTAAGTATCTGAGGCCAGGTTTGAACTCAGGTCTTCCTGATGCCAAGCCCACCACCTAGCTGTCCTGTATTCTTTCCCTCATCAATCAAAGCAGCCCAGCCCCAGTATTTAAGGGCTATTCCAGGCATTAAATGGACTCTGAGGTTAGTAACTGATAGATGGTCCTTTATGAGGCACTACTCTGGCATCTGGGGCCCAGAGGGCCTGGCTTGGAGTCCCAGCTGTTTGACCTTGGGGGAGATCTTTCCCATTCCTGGGCTTCCATTTCCTGCCCTGTCAAAGGAGAAGGGGAGCAGATTAGGTTAGATGGTTACCAAGGTCCGTTCTCTCTTCAGAAAAAGTCACAGGCAGAATCATAGATTGAGAGCTAGAAGGCATCTTAAGGGCATCAAGACCAGGTCCCTCATTTTACAGAGGAGGAAACTGAAACACAGAGAGGTGATTGACTTGCCCAGGGTCAAATAGCTAGTAAACATCTGAGGTGGGATTTAAACCCTGGTCTTCCTGACTCTCAAGTCCAAGCTGAATGGCCCCATTCAAAAGCCACAGTATGTTCAGGTTGTCTCCTGGGGTCCAACTCGGCAACAGTCTGGAGCTAGCCTCTTTTAGAGATTAAAGTCCGTTGGCAGGTGGTGAGGAATTGGAAGGACTGCCCAGGCGAATGGTCAGCTGAAGGGAACCTTTGGTTTTGGAGTTGTACAAGATTAAAGGAGATAGGAGAGATCTGGGCCTACTGCCAGTTCCTATTGAGCTATGTGACCTCTAGGGAGTCATTTCCCCTCCCTCCCCAAGCCTCAGTTTATTTATCAGCCCTGCCCACCTACTTGTTGAGCTATTGGGAGACTCAAGTGAGATAAGGCACCTGAAAACAGCTTTGACAAGTGGGAAGGAATGAGAAGTGTTAGCATTAGAAGCAGCCTCCAGATTGCCGGAATAGACCATCACCCCT